CCGGCAGGCCTCCGCAGCATGGGCGTCCGCGACTCGCCCAGGGGCCAAGAGCGCGCTGCAGGGCCCAGCGGTGACCTCGTCCTCCTGAACGCCGAGGTGAACGTGTTTGGGGCCATTGAGTTCGGCACTAGCGAGTGGGGCGACCTCAGTGACCAAGCATGTGTACATGGCGACCCTGAAGCAACTTCAGTGCTGCAGCGGCGCCTCGCGAGCTCCCAGAAGCAGGATGGCGGCAAGAGCTCAGCCCCCTGGAGAGCATGGGCTAAGCAGGCCAGGCAGAAGGGCGGCAGGCTCGCCCACAGTTGTGCTAAGGCGGTGCCGCCCCTGCCAGTGGTGAACTCAGAGGCCAGCAGGCCCGCGGCAGGCATGATGGCAGTCGGAATGCAGGAGGCCAATTGGCAGGCCCTTTTGCAGCAGGAGGGCATCAGGTCTGGAGCTGGAGTCGGCAGCTGGGACGTCCGAGGCTCGACATTGCCGCCCCTCTGCCTGAAGATGCTTCAGGTGGTTTGCAAGCGCCCGCCGACAGCGGGCCTGGAAGCTGGCCAGCTTCCCACGCGGCGGCTGCTGCTACCCCCCTCGGCCCTGCAGTTACGCGGCCTGGTCCTCTTGGGGGCATGCGAGGAGCAGCCCCAGGCCCTCGAGGCCGCAGCAGGTGAGCACCGTGCCTCGCCTGTCTACGCGGTGGTGCGGACCCTGGGGATCGGCGACTGGCACCTGGAGTCCGAGCGGTGCATGGTCATGGACCTCGGCGACGCGTTCAACCCCAGGTTCCTCGAGCTGCGGGTGATGGGCGCGGGAGCAAGCACGCCCGGTCAGCAGCAGGCCTGCAGCCGCCATGAGAGGCGGGTCCCCTTCTGCAGGCCCCACGTGCTTCGGCAGTGACTCGGAGACGCCATCGGGTTGGTGCTCAAGCCAAGAGTCGGGTGGTACTTGTGTGTGCGGCGTGCACGCGGAGGTGGAGCAGGCGGATTCGACAGCGAGCAGCTCATCAATGGCTCGGACTGGAGCAGCGGAGGGCACCCGCCTGCTGGCGTGATCGGCCAGGCGCAGTCAGTGGCAGCGTCGGTGCCCCAGCGGGCTGATGAGGCCCCAGGCTGCGGCGCTCCTGCCACGCGGCCCCGCCTGGAGGACAGCCGCTCGACTGGGAGCAGTGCGGCCGCCCTCTCGGCCACCGCGTTAGCCTTCAGCGTCCTGGGGCACGTGCTCAGCTATGCCTGCGCGGGCGAAGGCGAGGACACCCAGGAGATCGTGGCGTGCACCAAGTGTGGCGCCTACAGGGTGCTGGGCGGCCGCGCAGGAGGTAAGTCGCGCCTGAAGGTGCAGTGCCCAGGGCCCAGCTACCTGACCAACAAGTCGGGCAGGAACCAGCGCAGCCTGTGGGAGCGTGGGCTACACCCTGGTGGCAGACCTCGAGCGGACAAGCAGAGAGTTCGAGCAGAGCGCATCCCTGCTCTGCGTTTGCAAAGGCCAGTGCCAGGACACGCCCAGGAGCGCTACCTGGAGTGGATAGGCATGGAGGCGGAGCCCGCGGGCGGAGCCTCGGCCGCGGCCAGCAGTTCGGGCAGCGGCCCAGCGGCGCCCGCGGCTGCGCACGAAGTGGAGGCGGCGGCAGCCAGCCTGCCCCATCAGCAGCCAGGGCCGAGCGCGGGCGCCCTCAGAGCTGGCGAGGCTGCCGAGGAGGAGCTCGCAGCCGCGGGAGCCGCACCCAGCGGCGGCCTGGTGAGCCGCAGGGTCCGCCGCCGCCTGGCGCGCCGCGGCTCGGAATACTTGGAGTTCTACCTGGAGGGGCTCAGCGGTGAGGAGGAGCCTACAGGCAGAGCCTCAACCGCGGCCAGCAGCTCGGGCAGCGGCCCAGCGCCCCCCGTGGCAGCGCAGACAGCGGAGGCGGCGGAGGTGACCGCCGCGAGCAGCGCGGCGTGCGGAAGGCAGGTGAGCCGCAGGGTCAGCCGCCTGCTGGCGCACCGCGGCTCGTCGTCCGTGAGCGAGTGAGCGAGGATAAGCATCGTTCGCTCGTGCGTTGCCCCAGTGTGAGTAGGCACGCGAGGCGCGCTCTGCAGTGTGGGGGCCCCTGTGCCCCGTCGCAGTCGAGTTCCCGTTGAGCGCTGGCCCAAGGCGGCCCCGCTCGGAGGCCGAGAGGCGGCCCAAGGTGGCCCTCTCCGGGGGGTGGCCTTGCTGGGCCCCCGCGGGTGGCGGCCCTGGGCGGCCCCTCTCGGGCTGGCGTGTCTTTGGCCTTTTGGCCCACCACTTTGCCTTCAAGGCCCCGTCTTTAACTTTGACATTAACACACAGGAGCACGGCAGAACACACAAAACACATAGGAGCACGGCAGAACAAGCAGGAGCGCGGCAGAACACACAAGAGCAAGAGCACAGCAGTGCACACAGGAGCACGGCATAACACACATGTGCACGGCAGAATTGACGGCAGAACACGCATGAGCACGGCAGAACACATAGGAGCACGGCAGAATACGCAGGATCACGAGGATCACGGCCGAACACACTGAGTACATTGGAGTATTGCAGAACACCCAGGAGCATGGCAGAACACACAGGAGCGCGGCACAGGAGCACGGCAGAACACACAGGAGCACGGCAGAACACATAGGAGCACGTCAGAGCAGGACCATGGCAGAATACACCGGAGCACGGCAGAACACACAGGAGCATAGCAGAACACGCAGGAGTAATCCGTAGCCATTTTGGCTCAAGCCATTTCGGCTCAAGCCTGGCTCGGGCGCGCGGCGGCGGGCGCTTGGGCATGATGGCGCGGGCGGGGACGCTGGACAGTGTTCCTGGTGCTGCACGCGCTTGCCTCGGCGAGCCGCGGCGGGCGCGCGCGGAGCGTTCTGCGGCTCGGAGGCGGGCGCTCGAGGCAGCGGACAAAGGAGTGAAGGCGGCGCTCGCGGATGCAGCGGCCCTGCGCAGCGAGCTGGAGGCCGTTCGGCGGTGCTTCGCGCCCTACGTGGGCGACGCCGAGCTGGCCGACCGCCCGGAGGCGATCGTGCCCGCGCTGACGGCCTTGCTGCGGGGAGTGGCCCCCGAGCAGGAGGTTGCAGTGCGGAAGAAAGTGGCTCTCCACGCCGACGCCCCTGGGGTCAGGGTTGCGTCGGCGCGTGGCCTCACCCTGCGGCGGCTCCAGCGGCCCGCCAGGCTGGAGGCGAGGCGAGAGCGCAAGAGCGAGTGCCACGTGGAGATTTGCGAGGCGGAGGCGCTGCCGCAGCTTGGCCGAGTGGAGGCCCTGCGCACGGCGTTGCGGTCGGCTGCGAGGCCCTTCGCCCCAGCTGGGATTGACCCCGTTGCCGGCGGCGGCGGCACCCAGGTGACGCAGGCCCAGATCGACGTCGGTGAGTGCGACGAGGCGCAGCAGCAGCTTAACATGGGGTTCGAGCTGGCTGGGCGCGCCCGCGTTGGGCGTGGCGCCCGCATCGGCGATTGCTACGTGCCTTCCCCTCTCTTCCCTGGGGCGTCGGAGGTTGACTGCGAGGTGGACTTCGCGCAGGCCGCGGGCGCTCTGGCGGCGCCGCCGCGCGCTGCTGGCGAGTGCCCCGGCTCCGACGGCGTGCTCCTCGACGGCGAGGCCGACGTGGCCACCTCTTGCTCGGTTGGGGGGCAGCCAGCTGCCGAACCGGCTGGACGCGTTGCTGCCGCCGCCGCCGCGTACCTCGACGCCTTCCCGCAGGCCCTCTTCCGCGGGGGCGGCGGCGCCAGGGCTCGAGGCGAGGTCGCGGCTCGTGATTGGTGGCGTGCGAGAGCGGCCGTCGCCCGCGCTTGGCTCACAGCTGATTCCGCGGCGGTGCAGGCGCCCTCGGATGAAGGAGCGAGCGCTGGAGGTACTGCAGGCGGGGCGCCGATGCTTCCAGGCTTGGAATCGAGGAGTGGTTGGAGCAGCGTGGGTGGTGCTCATTGTGAGACGTCTTTTCCCTGCGTGTTCGGAATGCCTTCTGAGTGATGGTTCGCCTTGCACGTCTGTTCCCCATTGGAGGTGGGGGGCTGTGGTTGATCAGTGGGTTATGTCTCCTGCATTTGAATGTGCACGTGGTGTATTTGCAATGCAGTCGAGCTTGGGTTGTGATCATGCGTAGCTTCTGTTCTCGCAGTGCTTGCATGATTGGCTTGGGCGGGTTGGGGACCAGAGCCAGTGGCTTTGCCGTCCGCCTTCCTTGGCCCGTGTCGAGAGGCGGCCCTAGGTGGCCCCTCTCGGGAGGGCGTGTCTCTGGACTCGGCTTCTTTCGGGAGCGCGGGCCCCGTCTGGCCCTGTCTGCGTGTCTGGCCACCGCTTGCCTTGAAGGCCCCGCCTTTAACTTTATCACGCAGGAGTACGGCAGAACATCCAGAACATCTTTTCACACAGCCGCACCCATTGGCACACACGCATAGGCACACGCACATAGGCACACGCACACGCACACGAGCACATAGACACATGCACACGCACACGCACACACACACACACACACACACACACACACAGGCATCATACATTCACGCAGACCGCAGGAGCACGGCAGAGCAGCACAGCATAACACAGCAGCGCCCCATACACCTCGCACAGACACACACGCACATATCCCGCTCACGCACGCGCACGCGCAAACGCACGCAAGCCACGACTTATCTGCACGGCAGACCCATATAAAGCATATTCCACATACCGAGTGGACAACAACGACGCTTCCCGTTCTTGTCTGGTCAGGTTTCTTAGTGTCGTCCTAGGCCCTAGGCCCCCTTTTCGATCCTATCCTCTCCCCCCCGCCAGCCGACCAGTAGGGTGTTTTTGGTACCCTCTGGGTCATGACGCGCGTTCTGCCTTTCCCCTCCTCGCATAACGCAACGCTCCTCCCCCGCAGAGCGCCCCTGGCACTGCCGCAGTGCGTCTGGCACCACACATTTGTCACGGTGGGGAGCGGGGGCGTCACGTCATGCTCCCCCCCGCCCCGCCCCCGCCCTTCCCCCCCATAACGCCCGCCATCGCAGCGAATGATAAAGTGCTCTCCGAAGGCCGACGCTGGCGGCGCTGGTGCCTCCGCGTTGTGCAGGTTGAGCGCCCTCGGCATGTCGCTCGTGACCGCGGCGGCGTGGCGGCGGGTTGGCGACAGGCGTTGGGCCCCCCCCCCCGGGGCTCACGCAGTGGACGGGGGTCGGCGGAGGCATTCGGAGGTTCGAAGAAGAGTTACCTGCATGAACGTAAAGCTTCGGAGCTCCGCGCATGGATCGGCGCTGGAACCCTTTGGCGGCGCCGCCCCTGGCGCGCTCCGCGCGCCAGGGAGGTGGTCCAGCGTCGATCCAAGAAATCCGCGCGGAGCTCCGACAGTTTATGTTTGCGTAATGTTCGACTTGTCCAGAAACGGCGCTGTGGCGACAGGCATCGGGGCACTCCTGACATCCTCTCGGTGGAAAAAAGACGACGGAAGGTTTCTGCTTATTTTCGGCCTCCAGGGGCCCTCGCCGGACCCCGGGGCCGTCAAAGACGATTCGGAATGAAAAAAATGTCACAGGGAATGGGTCGAGATCTCGGAGGTCAAAGGAGGCACCCAAAATTTGTCAGATCTCCGACTAAAAGTTCTTTACGACTGGATTTGTTTCTTCGATTTCGGTTCTCAGGAGCCGAACATAGATCCAGCACGAAAATGCTTCCTTGGCGAAGCGCTCGGGGCCTCTGGGACCGCGGATCGAAACAAAAACATATCGCCAAATGTTGGGTGTTCGAAGGTGCTTGGGAAGGTTTGGGAGGTTTCCGAGGCCTGGTGTGGTTTCCATCAGCTGCTCCTCGTCGAGGGCGTTCTGGGGACGCCAGGATCGTCCCGAACGGCGCCTGAGGCCCGAGTTGTGGACTGACAGCCGGTCGGGCCGCAGGGGTCAGTGTTGACGGGGCGCAGCGGTCACCCTTCGCTGACCTTGGCTTGGGAGCCACGTGGGGCCGATAGCCGTCGGTCGTTGGAAGTGGGTACTGTAGTGGCCTTCGGCCGGTGCCGCGGATCCAGGGTTCTCTGGATGTGACCCTTTCCCATTCTCCCCCCCCTCCCCTCCGCTCTTTTCCTCTTCTCCCTCCACTCCATTCCCTTCCATTCATCCTACCACTCATCTTGCCGTTTCAACACTCCCACACATACACACACACAAACACAAACAAACAAACACCATTCCATTCACTTACAACCACCAACCCGCCCTTCGTCTAAACTCCACTACACGCACGCACGAACGCACGCACGCACGCACACAGACAGACAGACAGACAGACACAGAGAGAGAGAGAGAGAAACCGCCTGCATCCCCATCCCCCAGTTCACCTCACCCCGCCCCACGCCACGCCACCCCGTTGCATTCCTTAGCCCCATGCGCGCTGGGCCACCTACCCATCCAGCAAACCCACCCACCTACGCACACACACACACACACGCTTCCACCTTTCCCAAACTTTTCTCCTCTCCCCGCATCCTCCAACACCACCACCACCACCACCACCACCACCACCACCACCACCACCACCACCACCACCACCACACACACACACACACTCACTCACTCACTCACTCACTCACTCACAACCTCCACCCTATGTTTGCCAAGTGATGCGACCTATGTGATGCAAGTTGCGGGATACACTCCATGTGTTGTAATCTACGTGGTGCACTCGTCGTGGCGTAAGCTACGTGGTGCAAACTACGTGGTGGAATAATGCATATGGTGCAAGCTAATGTGTGTGAGCTATGTGGTACAATCCACGTGGTGCAAGCAATGTGCTGCTAAGCAATGTAACGCAACACAACGCAATGTGAAGCAATGCGAAGGCAACACAATGCAATGAATTTGAAGCGCAATGCCATTGCAACGATGACGGCTAGAGCAAGTGAGGGGCGCCAGCTGTAGTCTGTAGGCAAGTTGATGGGGAGGGCCCACAGCGCGTTGAGAGGCGCGGTGCGGAAGTGGCACTTAGGGCCGTGTTGGCTTGGGCAGTGTTTGCTCCAGGACGCGCCCTGTGTCGTGTTCTGGCGTCTCGATGCGAAGAAGAAGGAACGGCAAGAACTTGAATTGTCGGAGCCCTGGCCCCAGCCCCAGCCCCCGGCCCCAGCTTCAGTCCTCGCCTCGGCCCCAGCCCTCGCCCCGGCCCCAACTCCGGCTCTGGCCCGGGCCCTGGCCAGTTTCAGATTGGGCCCCAGCCAGGGCTCGGGCTCCACCCGGGCTCCCGCCCCAGCCCCAGTCTGGGCCCCCAGCCCTGGGCCGGCTCGGACCCCAGCGCCTAGGCCCGGGGCCTCGACCTCGGCTCCCCTGGCTCTCGCCAGGGCCTCGAAGCCGGGCGCGGGGCCGGGGCTGGCTCTGGCCCCGCGCCCCGCTGCGCCCTATGGTCCCGACCCCAGCCTTGGCCCCAGCCCCGGCCCAGGTCCCGAACCGGCTCTGGCCCTGGCGCCCGGGCTCCAGCCCTGGCTCCTGGCCCCGGTTCCAGCCCCGCCGCCCAGTCCGGGCGGCCCCGTAGGGATGGAACTCCCGCTTGAGACGCCTTCCAGATTCATGCTTCAGGAGCCTAAGGCTGGCGACAGTTACAGGTTCTAGATGACCCGCTCGGATTAGTAGCGTGATCCGGTGGCCCCATATGGAGGGAGTTCCCGCTCGAGTTTTCTTCACAAGTCAGTCAGAGACGAAACTCCCGCTCAACACGTTCTCCAGCACTCATGCTTCAGGAGCGCAAAGTGACGACCGCCACAGACTCTGGGACGACCCGTTCGGATCAGTAACAATGCCTGGTGGTCCCATGGGGAGGGGGATCCCGCTCGAGACGTTTAAGACACAACTTCCGCTTGAAACGCTTTCCAGGTTAATTCGTCAGGAACGCAATAGTGACGACGATTACATTCTCTGAATGAACTGATCGGATTGGTAACCTGATCTGGCGGCCGAACAGTAGGGGGAATCCCGCTCGAGACGGGGGCAGGTTCAAGAACTGTTCCGAGGACTCAACACAAAAATCCGAAGTTTCAAGTTTCCTGAGGGTTCAAAAAATCATTCTGGTCCCCGAAGCGCGATCTATGCGAGAGTTGTGCCGGAATTTGTAGGTTCGTCTGTCGGACGGTTGGTTGGTTGGTTGGCGGGTTGGCTCATGGGTTGGCTGGTTAGTTGGCTGGCTGGTTGGTTGGTTGGTTGGTTGCTCTGTTGGTTGGTTGGTCGGTTGGTTTGGTAGTTGGTTGGTTGGTCGGTTGTTCGGTTGCTCGGCTGCTTGGTTGGTTGGGTGCTTGGTGGGTTGATTGGTTGATTGGTTGGTTGGCTGGCTGGCTGGCTGGCTGGTTGGTCGGTGGGCCAGTTCGTCGATTGGCCGATGGACAGGCTTGTTGGTTGGTGAAACTGGTTGGTTGCCCTGTTGGTTGGGTGATTGGTTGATTGGCCCGTCGTTTGGTTTGTTGGTTCGTCGGCCGGTTGCTTGGTCGGTTGATTGGTCGATTCGTTGGTTGGTTGGTTGGTTGGTCGGCGGGTTGCCCGCTTGCACAGGTGGTTCGTCGGTGCTCGAGGGGTTGGACGAATTCTCGGGTTAGAGCGCTGAAGCGGTGTTGGGTCGGAGAGTTGAGGAGGCCGTGGCGGGCTGACGCTCGAAAGTTTGAGTGTTCCGGGTTTGACATCTTTTCCGGGTTGCTTAAGGCCTCTTGGGATGTCTCGGGCAGTGTGACGGCGAGGGCGTATTAGCAGGGCAATGTTGCCTGAATTCCCTACCTAGGCTCTGCCTAGAGGGTTCTTATTCGCTGGGCTTAAAGGGGCCGGGCAGTGGGCTCCGCCTCGGGCGGTTCCCCCGGTCCCCGCCCCGCGGTTCCCCCAATTGCGCCCCCTTACCTTAGCTTTGCGGCTTTGCGTATCTCATCTAAGCTTAGCTTCATCTTAGCTTCGCTTAGCTGTAGCTTAGCTTAGCTTAGCATATCATAGCATAGCCCAGCATCGCATAGCGCAGCATAGCATGGCATAGCATAGCATAGCATAGCATAGCGCAGCATGGCACAGCATAGCATAGCATGGCGCAGCATAGCATAGCATACCATAGCCTAGCATAACATAGCGCAGCCTAGCGTAGCATAGCATGGCGCAGCATAGCATAGCATAGCATAGCAAAGCATGGCATAGTGCAGCATAGCATAGCATAGCATAGCATAGCATAGCAGCAAAGCAAAGGCAAAGTAACAGCAGCAACAGCAAAGCAAAGCACAAGCAACGCAACGCAAAGCAAAGCAAACGCAAAAGCAAAGATAAACGAACAACCAAACAAAAGCAAAGGCAACTACGACGATGAGGAGCAGGAGGAGGACGGCGTTTACCGTTACTACGAATTCTGCTTTCCTAGGGGCTCCAACTCCTAGGTAGGGTCGCACTGGGGTAATTGTACGAAAGGCAGAGAAATCTCCGCTCGAGACATCCTCGAAAATCCGCGCCGGCTGGGCTACGAGTACGGCTACTTTGGCCTACTGGTACGCCCTTTTGGAACCTGGCTGGGGTGTACTGGAAGGCTACTTTGACCAGCGCCAAAAATTGTTCATTGCAACGCAACGCAAAGCAACGCAATGCATTGCAGCGCACTGCAATACATTGCGACGCAGTGCAACGCAAGGCACTGCAACGAAATGCGCACCTCATCACGTGTCAGCGCCGCGGGGTCAGAAGAAAAACAATCCCGCCCCACTCGTCACAAGGCAATGTCTGAGCGAGCGAGAACTCAACCCGTCAGGTGGCAGCGCCCCCGTGTCCGAAGACAAATGCGACTCTTCTCTACGCGCCATGTATAGATTACAGAGGGATCTGGAGCATTTGATGGCACTCCGCTTCGTGCCGTGAGACGCGGTGGCGGAGTGTGCACTGACGACGACGACGACGATGAGAATGGCCAGATGAGCAAACAACAATACTATGTGTTCCTCCTCATCGTCCTTCTCCCTTCCCCTTCCTCCATCCTCCCTCCTCCTTCCCTCTTCCGACCCCCTCTTCCTCACTCTCCTCCCTCGTCAGTCCTCCTCCCTTCCATCCTCTCTACCTCCTTCTGTACACCTCGTTCCCTGTCCTCCCCTCCTCCCCCTCGTATCTGAAGATCTGGGCTCGGGTGTCTCATTTCGGCATCTGCGCCCGC